TCATTACGAAAAATAAAATTCTTAATCTGCAGTTCATTTATATTTAATCTTTTCTTAGAACACTTTTACACTTTCTTTTTTTCTCTTTCAACACCATACATCGTTTTCAAAGAATTCCTATTCAAAAATCTCCTCCATTACTTTTAAAACATTCATTTATATAAAATGCAACATTTTTAATTGTTTTCATCCGTTCGCTCTGGTTCCATGCAGTGGAAATTTTCTCGGGCTATTTTGAAAACTCTTTATTTCAAATGCAGTTTTAAAGAAAAGGATTATTTACTGTTTTTCACCTCGTATAATTTTAGATAATTTTTAAATTCTTGTTTGACATTATTCAAATAAATTCCTTCAAAATGAACTAGCCATCAGCGATTCTGTAAATTAAATAACAAAAAAACTATGCATAATGAAATACATTTGCACAATATTTAAGCAAATGTAAGGCGCTAAATTTATAAAACCATTATTTCAATAAATAAAATACAGTGAATATAAAGCCACCAGAGAAAAAGAAGAAATAAATATATATCTATCTATATATTTTAGAAAATTTAAATAATAAAATAATAATAATAATAATAATAATATATATATATATATATATATATATATATATAAGAAGAAATTTTGAAAAAAACAAAAAAAATCATAAATGGGTTAAAATAGAAAAGAAATGTCGATGTTCTGACGTTTCGGTTTAATAAACCTTTTCAAGACAATATTCATAAAAATTTATTAAACCGAAACGTCAGACGTCGACATTTCTTTCATTTTAACTACATTTAAGGGATTTTTGTTTGTTTTTTTCAAAATTTTTCATTCTGTCGGATTTATATCCATTTACACTTGTTTATATATATATATATTATATATATATATATATATATATATATATATATATATATATATATATATATATATATATATATATATATATATATATGTGTGTGTGTGTGTATATAATTATTTATTTAAAAATATGATTCCAAATCGCGACATAAGAAGTCCATATTAGCCGCTTCCCGACAAGGATGCAGTTGACATACATTGATCGAGCAACCAGTAATACATTCGGTCAAATTCATAAAATCTTTCTCTTAAAATATTTTTGAGGAAAATAGATTTCGCAAGTCGACTAACATTCATCGCTCTTTTCAGTATTGATGAGTTGTTCTTTCCGAACCTTTTATTTCAAGTAGTGTGAATTTGAATATATATATATATATATATATATATATATATATATATATATATATATATATATATATATATATATATATATATGTGTGTGTGAGTGTGTGAGTGTGTGTGTCTGACACTGTATGTGTAAATCTTGAGATATAATTTAAAATATATACTGTTAAAGGAAAATATGTATAAAAACAAAGGAAAAACTTATCAGTGCCGACGCATTTTGTCCTCTGATGGACTTCAATCAATACAAATGTTTATTTTGCAACAGATATTTATAAACAAAAAGTAAAAATCTCGTCAGTTTTGCTAAATTTTAAATTCGAGAACGCTCAGACATTTACATCAAACTCATTGAAAAGTCTAGATAAATGATGGAGGTTACTATGTGACGTAATTTAGTGCCTTGTAAACAAAAATTGGTGAATGTTTTTTTATTAAATAATGTCAATTATACTTATGTTGATCTAATCTAAGATTCACTTCTATATTATATATTTTAAATAAGAGAAGGTCACGAATTTAAAGGTTTTCTTTTATTTTTTTAAATTGTTTCATAGTCATGTATGATACCTTGCGTATGAGGTATTTCTTTCCGGATAGGAGATATTAGGAAAATTCCGAATTTATATTTTGCTAAGATTCAGTAGCAACTTTCTCAAGAATGTCTCAGTAAGTTAATTTCATTTTTTAAGTGTGGCATTCTTTAGAACGAAGTTGTCATTGAACATATTTCTATGTCTGACTAAATCATTTGATAAATATTGTATACAATCCTTTTTTGTGTTCATAGATACGTTTTTCTAAATTTCTGCAAATTTCCCAAATGTATCGTAAAGAGCAGTTGAGACAGACTATTTTTTATATACCAGCTTCAAAATTATACTTGTTATGGATACTTTTGATTTTGATCATATCCGAAATATCTATTTTGTCGTTGTATATTTTGTGTGCCTTACTCTTAGCATTGTGGACAAAATTATGAGGATAGAAATTTCTTTGACGTATATTTCTTCTTCAGGTAACTATTAGGGACTACAGATTCTTATTGTAAATAAAATCCTATAATTATTCAAGATATTATCCTGTAACAGTGGTGAGTATAGGAATTAATATTGTCATTTTTGGTAGATTCCCTGTAAATCTCCAATTGAAGGTCATTATTAGTTCTATGAAGCATGCAAATTAAGAAGGGTAAAGTTTTGTTAGATTCAATGATAAAATATATTGTGGGTTCGACTATATTATGTTTGTTAATAAGATCGGGTAAAACTATGTTTTGTGAATATATAAGACCAGATAGGTTTGCCTATTGACCGGTTCATGTCCCTCCTTGGTCTTTTGAATGGGAGTAGAGGTTTATCCCTTGTTTTCTATTTAGAATTGGGTTTCCAGTTTTGTCTAGTCCTCTCTTTCTATT